ATATATATATATATATATATATATATATATATATATATATATATATATATATATATATATATATATATATATATATATATATATATATATATATATATATATGCAAGTAAATCACTGTAGGTGCGCGTGATCTAGGTATATGCTGATAACCACAAGAAAAGAAGAAAACACGAAGTTCCCAAGTGCTTTCGTGTAATTCACATCTTCAGGGGTGAGTACAGACTAGAGAGAGAAATACAAATAATACAAATATAATATTGGCTCAAACCTTAAATACCCTAGATCTTTCATAGACAAATGCCTAAACATTACTAAGAAAACTTTTTATAGAACTGATCCCAAGCCCACCCATGACCATAAGAATATCTTAATATTACCATTTCACAAAAATTTCTCACACATTCCTTCACAACTAAAAACCTGGAACGTCAATGTGGCATTTAAAAAAACTCATGCACTGTTAAACAAATGTTAATCAAGAACTCCCCCAACAACACAATTGGCTGCATTTATAAAGTTCCTTGCAAGAAATGTAATATGTTTTACTTAGGCCAGACAGGTAAAGATCTTGCAACTAGAATTAAACAACACAAATACAGTGTTAGGACAGGCCAGGAATCCAATGCTCTGTTTGTTCATTTGAGGGATAACAAGCATTGCATTGACTGGGATAATGCCTCCTCAATATTACCATGTAATTCAATTGATAGTAGGAACATCATAGAATCTAGTCTTATTAAACATACCGAAGCATTCAACATGAATTTGAGTAACGGCATGTACAAGCTGGACAATTTTATAATTAAGAAGATTTGTGACCAGGTGAGAAGGCCGGGTCACCTGACCACCAACCGTTGTGTGCTATTTAAAGATTAGTAGGGTCATTACCTAATACCTGACCATTGTGGACCTGGTCTCACCCTCTGTATATATACACCTTGATTTGTATTTCTCTCTCTAGTCTGTACTCACCCCTGAAGATGTGAATTACACGAAAGCGCTTGGGAACTTCGTGTTTTCTTCTTTCCTTGTGGTTATCAGCATATATATATATATATATATATATATATATATATATATATATATATATATATATAACCAACAACAACTTATATATATATATACTATATATATATATATATATATATATATATATATGTCTATGTCTGTCTACCATATATATATATATATATATATATATACTACTATATATATATATATATATATATATATATATATATATACTATATATTTCATTAGCCCAATAAAAGCAGCGGACTTCTACATACAATCAACACCTCAACCCGCCAGGATTCGAACCCACGGCCCGAGCCCATGACTGTGACAGGGGAACGCTAACCGCTGGACCACCAGGATACTAAAAGCAGTCCTAGACTTTTTTATATTTCACACAAAGCCTGTTCAACGAGCTTAAGGCACAGTGAACCTCTAATGGGGACTACCGGTATCACGTAGGTGGTCAGAGTAGCGTTTTACCAAATCCGGCTTCGAAACACGAGGATCCATATATATTTCATTAGCCCAATAAAGCAACGTTACTCTGACCACCTAAGTGATACGGGTGGTCCCCATTAGAGGTTCACGGCGCCATAAGCTCGTTGAACAGGCTTTGTGTGAAATATAACAAAGTCTAGGACTGCTTTTAGTATCCTGGTGGTCCAGTGGTTAGCGTTCCCCGGTCACAGTCATAGGCTTGTGTGCCGTGGGTTCGAATCCTGGTGGGTTGAGGTGTTGATTGTATGTAGAAGTCCGCGTGCTTTATTGGGCTAATGAAATATATATGGATCCTCGTGTTTCGAAGCCGGATTTGGTAAAACGTTACTCTGACCACCTAAGTGATACGGGTGGTCCCCATTAGAGGTTCACGGCGCCATAAGCTCGTTGAACAGGCTTTGTGTGAAATATAACAAAGTCTAGGACTGCTTTTAGTATCCTGGTGGTCCAGCGGTTAGCGTTCCCCGGTCACAGTCATAGGCTTGTGGGCCGTGGGTTCGAATCCTGGCGGGTTGAGGTGTTGATTGTATATATATATATATATATATATATATATATATATATATATATATATATATATATATATATATATATATATATATATATATACTCAACTCCCTCCCCCTCTTCTCACACTACACTGCTGGCTCTTCCCTCTCTGAGAAATTTTTGGGGGAAAACCACTAAATTTTAATAAATAATTAATACCTCAAACTAAAGTTAGGATAATATAATTGACATTGCTGGATTCCTTGTAAGACCAGGAATATTTTGAATATAAATGTCATATATTTTGCACAAAAGATAACATATCTACTCAGAGTAAACATTACATCTAAAATTTGTAAGTCTAATGCAAAATCTATGATGTTTATATTCAAAATGATCATCAAATTATAAGAATTCCAGCAATGAAAATTATATTCTGACGGGTAATTTGTATGAATTTTATGAGCTAAAACAAATATCTTCAGTTAATAAAAAAAAAAAAATATTCTTCAGACACTATCTGTCAATCAAAGTACCCCACCTTGCCTCTCTTCCAACCGCTCGGTCAGTCCCAACCCTACCCCCCACCAATCCTCCCTTCAAGAGAAAGGTTGGGTGAAAAAACTAAATTTTAACATTTTGTATTAAATACCTCAGATTAAAGTTAGGATAATATAATTGACATTGCTGTATTCCTTGTATGACCAGGAATATTTTGAATATAAATGTCATATATTTTGCACAAAAGAGAACATATTTACTCAGAGTAAACATTTTATCTAAAATTTGTATATCTAATGCAAAATCTATGATGTTTATATTCAAAATGATCATCAAATTATAAGAATTCCAGCAATGTAAATTATATTCTGGCCGGGTAATTTGTATGAATTTTATGAGCTAAAACAGGCAGTCAGGCAGGGTGGCGGGTGGGGCAAATCTAAAAATAGCTCTCGAGCAGGACACTCACCGTGTATACGTGGAAAAAACCCGCGTTAAGTGAAAGTTCAGCTCTGGTGAGGCACCGCGTATACGGTAAAACGCGCCAAGTGAAACCGCGTTAGGCGGGGTAATACTGTATATATATACTGTATATATATTTTAAAGAGAGCGACGCTTGAGGTACATCTAGCAGCTCTGTTTTTTGTAAGGGTTGTCTAGTAGAGAAAACAGCCTTATTTCCATTTTGCATTAGTTTACAAGACCTCCAGTCACCATAAGAGGTGAAGAAAAGTCAGCCATTTTAAATAGAGGTGTAAACTACGTTAATCTTTAGTGAATCACCACCGCAGGAGATATGAAACTCCTTACACACTTATGAAGTTCATAACCCGTTAGTGAATCTCGACCCTGGAGTACAGTACATCCACAATTTTGGTATCACCTGAACATGCATTTCTAGACTATCATCTTACTGCAAAAGAATTTTTTTTCCTTACTTCATACTATTCGTTGAATTGTAAATTTCGAACTAAAATTTATAAAACATGAAAATATCAGGTTTATAAAGAAAATCTTTCTTCCTTTTATTTATATATTTAACAAGATAAATTCATTAAAAAAATGTGCCAGTCACTGTTTTAATTCTCTTTTCGTGTGTGTGTGTGTGTGTGTGTGTGTGTAATTCATGTTGTTGGGTCAATTTCCAAATTTTGGGTTAAATAAAAAACTATAATGCATGCCATATAGCCATATACTGTACTGTAAATTCATTTTTATATGTAACTGTATCTTGATTTGTGGCACTTGCCCTATCACTATAAATCCTTGAAAATGTGTAAATCACTACTATAAAGTTTATGAATTTCATGAAATATATTTACATTTGAGTATTTCTGTGAATCTTTTGGATTCTAATTTACAAAAGTATATACAAGTATTTACAATTTCTTAAAAAATAAGGCCTTATTAGGAAGTTTAGGAATCATCTACAACACTTGACTGAATACACGAGAAAAATTAAAATATTTTTACAATCCAGACTAGACTATAACATAGACTGATTATCATAGACATCACAATTAGAAAACATACTTCTGCACAAAGAACTACAGAACTGAATCATTACCTTTCTTTCTTAGCTATGACTATATTATTTAACTCATAATTATATATAATTATTCTCATTAACAGCATATTTTCAGGTAAAGAACCTTCGTATTATCCATTAAGAATATAAGAAACCAGAAATTAATATACAGTAGTTATTAAGGCACACAGTGACTGGACAGGAAAAGCAAAGACAACTTGTCAGAAAAAAAAAAAAATATATATATATATATATATATATATATATATATATATTTAACAATCTACTCACTTCTGTGCTTTACAAACTAATTTCAAACAGTGAGCAGGTTAGTGATTAAAAGTTAATGGCTAATATTATTTCTTACTGGAAATGTAACAGGAGGCTCCTGAATTTTGACACTAATGCCCAGTAACATGAAGAGAGCACATACAAAAATGAGCATGATAATTCAAAGTCAATATAAAAGTACCAAAACTAAGCAAGAGATCTATCACATTTAGTCTAGCAGTGTTTACAATTACATCATTATTATATAAATATACAAAGAAGAATAACTACCATTCAATGAGGAAGAACTAGTCCTTGATACTTATACTCTTTGTGTTGAAGAAAACCTGAAAATCTATAATTTACTCCATCTACAAAAAGTTAATTAATGGAAAATTATTGGCTTATATATTATTATGGACTTAACATATTTTAATTATCTGCATACAGACAAAGACAGACATATACTGTCCTGAATTCATGGCTGTGGTTTGAATGTTAAAAATCCCAAATATTTAAATTTTTCCTCAGTGGTTCATTATCCCTATTCCCTCAGGCATGTGCCATTAAAACTTCACTTTACTGAAATAATTTGGGAAAAAATTGGTTGCTAAATTTCAATTTTCAGTAAATCTGAGCATATAATAGTGATAGCATTGGTGATATGTACCTTCTAACACAGCACTGCTAACAATCCCCATCAGCTATGTGGTATTGGTTTAAATATGGGCCTAGTTCATTGAGAATTATGAGAATACAAAACTATAATAATAATAGAAATGTTTAATTCGCTGTAATCATCCAGATCTATACTGGCTGTACAGTGAAGCAGTGACATTCTCATCATATGTCCATTACTAACTTTACCTAGTAATCAACAACTTTATGAACATTTCATTAACTTCGGGCACTTATTTTTCACACACTCTATTTTCTCAGTCATATCATGCCTCATATGCTCTTTAACATAAGCCATTGTTTTGGTATTAAAAATTTTCAAGATATGGAAAGACAATGCAATAACTGTTGCAACCATGTACTATACAGACTGAGCTGACCAGTACATTATCAATATGCATCCAAATCTAAACCAGCCATCCCAAACTGCAGAAATGAACTACTTCAGCCCCTTACCTACACACACACACACACACACACACATATATATATATATTTAGTTTGAAATCTCATCAATGTTTTATCTTTTTAATTAATAAATAAAAAAATATAGAAAAAAGCTCAACACTAATTAAATTTGTGATGAATATTGTTTTATTTTTCTTGTGATAAATACACTATAGTATAAATTGTTTTTATTTACCTTCCAAATAAAAAAAAATAAAGCTTCAAACTACATATACTGTACTATACATGTAATGAATGTATCCTTACAGCATGAAAAATTAAGTTAAGTTGAGGCTCCTCCCATTAGCTTAGTTCAATTTCACATTTCAGGACTGAACCAATCATATCCTCAAAATATTCATCCGATATCTACTACAAAATAATAAACATACAAAAAAACATTTTTTTAATAAATGCAGTAAAACTAAGTTCTGGTATTTCTTTGTCCAGTAATATGAAGTCTTCCTGTAATTACAGATGGGGATTTAGTCATAGTCATAATGATGAAAGACTTGTTAACTAAATTTTCACAAAACATTAAAATAAACAAATAGCAAAAAAATAAATAAAACAACTAAAATTCCAAGCCTTCTGACAGCCATCCTGATCTAATTTTCATGCTCTTGAAAATATATCCTGCAAAAATTTATATTTTGCCAAATGATATACTGTACCTGGTAATGTACTGTAATGCCATTTATTTTGTAAACAAATGAAAAACTTTTATATATCAAAACATTCTCACATTGTTAAAACTGTTGTGTGTACTGAATATGGGCTTTATATTGTATACATAAAATTATTATACTTTTGGGGTGCATTATATCCACCTACTGCAGTTATTCAATCTCCAAATTATCAACATCAGTTCCAGGAACAGAATAATAAATTAATAAAAGTAGTGTCTATCAGATCTAACAGGCATGAGTTTCATTCTTCATTACCAGGGATGTATAATAATTCAAGATTATGGAACTATTTTTCAACCATAGTTTACATTTATTGATTCATTATATATTCTAATACAGTATTGGTGAAGTCAACTTTAAGGTCTATGTTTCTTCAACAGGATGTAATTTTTACAGAATGGTTAATTACATAATTCCCCCCCCCAAAAAAAATTATCTTCCTTTATCTATAAATTTAATCATCAACAAAACTTCAAATTTTTTGTACACATTTCTTTAACAAATTTCCAAAAACAACAAATCATATACCAGAATGTCTATTGCCGAGAAAATTATTCGGTTTTCAAAACGGAGGTGATAATAAACATTATGACCACAATCTTCATGGATATAATCGAATTAAGGCCTTTGAATAAGTCTTATAATTTTTAAGGAATAAATGTATATTTTACCTGTGTACAATTAATGATTTTTTTCTCAAATTTATGTTGAATTTTCATCAACATATATCGTCCTTCATAAAACCTAACATAAACAACACAAACTGCAAAACAGATTAGTTCATGAAGTTGGAATGTAAGATGAGAAGTTGCCATCTAAACAAATACACTAATCAACTCCTTAATAGAAAAGTTATGTTTCTAAGAGCAGTAAATAGTGGGATGACTTGAACGCCATTTAAAAATAAATATAAAATGTGTACTGTATAGTATTTAGAGTAGTAGTCTTTCAGCAGGGCTTCAGTCTGTGTTTAATGATTTTACTGTCAAGAGATTTGTAAAGATGGTAAAAGATTTAGAGGGAATAACCCATATACAATAATATGCAATAACCATGTGTACATATCAAATAACCAGTTCCATCTACATTCATATATTGTATTGCACTGGAGTGAAACTAATCAAAAGGTGAAAGTCCCTCCATATTCTTCACTGCATCATTTGTGAAATATCACAATATTTTTATACAATGTACTTGACAAATTTAAGTGCATACTGTATAATGAGTAAGTTGTACAAATTAATTACAATAGAACCTAAAGATTAAAACTCCATATCATCAACAGTGCGAGACAGCCTCACATTTTCATTTCTTTTGCGTTGGCTTCTTCGAACAGCATCAGCTCGTCGATATGGTTCATTTTTCAGTCCAATTAGGATGTCCTCTAATGCACCATGATACACATCTTCTTGGGAAAGAAGTCGTTTATCAGCAACCACACCTCGAGCTTTCATCTCACTCATTATTGCCTCCTAAAACAAACACAAAATATTAGAACATACAGTACTGTACATATAAACACTAAGCTGCTTGGATATCACTTGCCTCACACAAAATTCAAGCAAATTCAGAAGATAATAAAATAAGACCAAGTGTTATCATAAAACATTAATAAAAGTAAAAATAATGGGGAAAATATTGAACCATGTATGTAAAACATATAAATTATGTCACAGAACAATCTCAATCAAGCTACTTTATTATAATGTATATTAGGACAACACCATTACAGGTATAGACCCCTTAAATCCAGGACCTTTAGAACTACGACCAAACAATTTTTTAGGATTTTCCGGTTTTTTGGGTCTTAAGTAAACCATGTTACCATAGCCCTACCAGTAGACTCCTGTACTTCAACACACATACAAACTCAATTGAACTTTAGTTTTACTTCTTAAAAAACAAAACAAAGAATTAAACACTGTACACATACGAGTACTTTAAAAAAATTAATACAGGCTGTATAGTGTTTTTAGAAGTTGAGAATTCCCTAGGTAGGCCTGCATAGCATCAGAGTAAGCCAACATGGGTTTGTTAACATCCTGGCAGCTTCTCATGAATCATGAGAGATTTGTGAGAAATAGAGAGATGATACATTTTTATTGTCCGATTGAATAAATGATTCGATACCTTGATTATCTTTTCGGCCTCATATTTTTAAAATATCATTATCATCATTGCGTTCATATCGCTTTTAAAATTAACATTGGTCAAATTAATTTAAAAATTCAAGGTAACCCATGCCAGATGTTGCTTGTTTTCACCATTGTTATCATTTCATACATTTTTCATCAGCTATGCAGTGTAAAATTGGGCAGGAACTTTTTAACATTCCGAATTGAAGATAGCACTCTGCAGTAATGCAAAAATATTATGCACGTCTTGTTTTTAATGTTTTATCAATAATATTGACATTATAACATTAAAGCTACATCTAGAATGTGCTTTACCACTATTGTTGATACTATTAAAACTTACAGTTGGGTCTTCATTTACGCGGTCAATTGAACCCGCGGAGTACCGCGTAAAACGAGAAAAGCGTAAATGAAATAACAGAACATATGGGATTAATTGAAATAGAGACTGGCCCTCACCTGTATCACTTGTATCAATTGTATCACTATCCACCACAGAGGCTTGCAGGGCCTCTTTGTCAAACCCCTCAAAGTCCATACAAGTCCATATCCTCACTATCACTGACTTGGGCCGGCTGTGGTGGGTGGCGGGTGAAGAACTTGGTAATGTTTTGATGACAGGGTGACCTTGTGCACACCCTGCCCGCGCCGCTTCCCGCGTAAATGACCAAATTTGCCACGTAAATCAAGCATTTCAATTCTGGCAAGGCACCGCGTAAATGACAAAATGCGTAAACCAAAACCGCGTAAATCCAGAGTCAACTGTATATTAAATAATACAGTATTGTTGCTTTACAAATCATATCAATATTAGAGTGAAAGGTGGAGCTTGCTAGTTACATCCACAATGGGATCATCTGAGATGGCTTTCTACAATTCTTTCAACATGGCTTCTAAACTCTTGTATTCACAGTTCTCTTTTAGTGTCAGGTAAAGGTTCAAATGATACAGCACTATCTAATGTATACAGGTATACAAGATGAACTATGTACAGTGGAATCCCAGTTATCCAGTATCCGGATAACTGGCAGATTCAACTAACTGGCACCACCAAAATGAAATAATAATAAAAATATAAATGCCTCTAAAATCAGTTAGAATCTTAAGTTTGAATACCATGTGCGATGGGGATGAGCTGCCATATTTATTGCTATAATAAATAATAAAACTATACATAGCATCATATAATATAAATTAGTACATATTTTATGGTTATGTACAAAAAAAAAGCTAATTCACATTCAAACTATCCTCTGGGAGACACAACCCACTTCAGTCAAGCAGTTAACCAGCTGACTCACAGACATGTGGCTGCCGCTCTGCACTGTGTGTATGCCATGAGGTCACAATGGGAGGGAGCATGGCCACGCAGTTATAGCCCACCACCTTCACACACATACACACTCATGCTCTTCCTTTTATTTATTTTTTTAGTTTTATATATTTTCTTTATTTCTAAGCCACATTAAAGTCTTGTAATGATTTTTCAACAACTTTTATAGTTTCATTACAAGTAACAATATACGAGGCTGGCGAGTTGGCCATGTAGTTATTAGCCATGGCCGTGGCTATAACCGCCTCAACACACATTCACTTCCCACACAAACACACCCATGCTCTTCATTTTTTTTTTTTATTAAATTTTCTTTATTTGTAAGTCATATTAGAGTACAGTAAGTCTCCTTTGAACTTTGATATTTTGAACAAATCCTCACCACAACGAAAGCAAGTTTTTACTACCCATTTGCCAATTCACGAAAGAATGTTCCACTATCACGAAAGGCAAGTCACCCCCACCTTTCTCACCACCGGCTCCATAATTACCATCATCACCTAAATCATAATGTCACCCTCCTCCCTCCCACCTGCTGCTCTCACTGACACTGCCTCTCTCTCATTCTATGACTGTCATTCATGATACAGTAGAACGTCGATTTAAAACAAATCGATTTAAAATTATTGATTTAAAGCGACACCCAAAATTAAGGACACTATCAATTTAAAGCGAATCTTTCCTATTTTACGCGAGTCAAATCTGGCACGGATTACCCCGGGGGTTAGGTTAAAATTTCCAATTTCAAGATAAAAATAAAAAAAATGGGTCATATGCACGCCAAACGCTCCACCCCTGCCATCCCACCTCTCTGTCTTCAGTTGCCGCATCGGTATTGGGTATTGTCAGAATAACACCTGCCTCTCATATGTGTCAATTTAGTGTGCTTAAACCTTTCTCTCATACTCGTTCATAATGCCCAAACACAAGCCAACTCTGTATTGTACATGTCTTCAAATATACAAAATAATTACTAAAATTTTTATGTCTAGTGCAAACTATAGCATGTTATATTAAAATTAATCACTATCCTACAAGAATCCCAACACTGTAAGTTATGTTCTCCCCAGTCAGTTCAGTGACATTTTATAAGAGAAAAAAAAACTCACTGTAAAGGACAGATAAATAAATACTTCACTAGACCTCCCAGCTCCAGCTGTCAAATACATTGCCTTGCCTTGCCTCGCCTCGCCTCGCCTCGCCTCACCTACCACCTCCCTCCCAGCCAGGGTTTGTTGGTTTTAGGCTTAAAAGATTTTATCTTATAAAATATCACAGACTAAAGTTAGGATTATATAACTTACTGTACATTGCTAGAATCCTAGCAAGACAGCGAATAATTTGAATCCAGACATCATATATTTTGCACAAGAAATAAAAAAATTTAATACATTAGTGTAGTACATTTTAGGAATGTAAAATTTTTTCAACTGTATTTTTGGGTAGATTTACATAACTTTCTTCATTTATTTTTTCTCCTTTACATGCACAAACCAACCTAAAAAATAGTAAAGAAATAATTGTCCAGTTCTGTACTCAAATGTACTTATGAACTACTAAAATTTTTATGTCCAGTGCAAACTATAGCATATTTATATTCAAATTAATCACTGTCTTACAAGAATTCGATCAATGTAAGTTATATTCTCAGTTCAGTGATACTTTATAAGAGAAAAACAGATAAGACACAAGGGATTAATGTCCCCACCGGCTGGTGAATACCTCACCTCAACTCAGCCCCCTCCTACCCCCTGCCTGGCTGTCAACACATCACCTCCCTCTTCCCAGGGGTGAAGGTAGTTTAGGCTTAAAATTTTTATCTTTTAAAATGTCACAGACTAAAGCTGGGAGAAATAATTTGCATTGCTGGAATCCTTGCAAGATAGCGAATAATTTGAATGTAGACATTACAAACCTCAAATAAGGGATTGTGGACCTGTATTACATTACAATAGTAATTCATGAGTTCTAGGGTATCTGGGTAGATTCTCATTCAGGACAGGGCCAGCACAAAATAATGAAAAAATAAGTTGAGAGGAAAGTGGAAATGATTGGCGAGTCAGACGAGAGGCAGGTGATGCAGGGTGCCAGCGAGACCACCCTCTTGCATCAGCTGATTGCTAGTAAACAGACCATTTCTCATCCCATAATTTTAGCTGTGTTGATTTATGAGTGTTTTTTAGCATAATACAGTACTACAAAAAACAATGTTTTGTTTATTCGAGATGGGTGAACCATGAACCGTGAGATTCAGACTCGTGAACCCGAAGCAGTAGACACTGATACATTATTCTGTCCTTAAATGCTTCGGATTCAAGAGTCTGAATCTCGGGGTTCATGGTTCGCGACAGGACTTTTTGGGTGACTGTAACTCCTCCATCTCCCTAGCAACACTCCCCGCAACACTCTGAACCCTCCCTCCCCTCCCTAACTGAGCCAGCTCACACCTCACAGCTTGGTCCATTAGCCTGGTGATTACAGTGACAAGTCTAACCTAGCATCAATGCCATGATTAAACACTATTAAGCACTATTCTATCAATAAACACTAATAACACTAAATCCAGTGAAGTGTGGCAGGAGCGAGGAGTAAACAGCAGACGACACTCGACTAGGGATCATTCACTCAACTTGCCCACTCTCGTTGCCAGGCATAACCAGGGAAACTACTTTTTGCTCAATATCGATGATGTTACTGTATTTTCCGATGCATTATGTATGATAATTAGTGTTTATTAAAGCAGTTTTGGAACAGTTTATGGTGCTTTTTTGCCTATAGAACATAATGTCTTCTGGTACCTAACCCACAAATTATTGCAACTCTACTGTATCAATAAAAGATTATCATCTTGTATCAAATGATATGTCATGATACACCTTTACGAATTATTAAAAAAAAAAAAAATCACACCAGTAAACTTACCCGTGTATGTATGATTTTTAATTCAATAAAACTTTTATAATTCACTTAATGGCATATAATACCCACAATTTGTAATATAAAG